TAGGTGCACCAATAATGTGGTTGAGGTTTGATTGGTGTGAACCTTCCACTAAAAATGTGTCTAAAATCTGATCCTAACTTACATAATTGGCCACCTATTTATAACCATTGCTTTTTTCATCCTACAAAAATGTTTTCCACGATGCCAACTTTTTTTTTTTTTTCACCAAATCGAATCATATCAAATTTTATTTAGTGGGTTCAAAAATCATTGGACACGAAACAAAGTTCACAAAAAACAAGTGGTCTCTTTTTTCACATTTTACGACTTTCTTCCATTCACGTTTTTATTGACGGAGCTAGTACCTTACATGTGTTTGTCGGTTGAATTATAGTAAATTTTTGTTCAAACAGTATATTTGTGGTAATAGTTTTATTTATAACCTATTATGATCGTTTAAAGTAGTCTATGTGAAAGATTCAGAACTGATAAAATTAAAATCCTGACTTCGTCTATAAGAAATCGAAATTGAGATTTACCAGAAATTCAAAGAGTGCACTGATGAGATAAATGTAATAAGTTGTGAAGAAGGCATCAGATAAGAATCCACCAAGAAGTGCCAATAAAAATGCTGTGCCCATAAAATTAGTCACAGAATTTGCTGATTTTGTTGGTGAAAAATGCATGTACTCAGACATATACAACACCAAATTACTTGCATTTGCCAAAAATGCCAAATTCTCCAACACCTCAACACCTAATCATAAAATTTAAAAAAAAATCATCAATAAAATAAATTACTCAAAAATTTGGAAAAAATTATTCTTTGACAAAGATACGATCAATCTAGTGCACTAAGCTCCTATTATGTCAGACCACAAGAATCTATCGTACAACACATTTCTGCGAGAGGTTGTTTATGCAACTCGAAATTCGTGACCTTGTGCCTAATGCACTAAGCTCCTGTTATGTAGAATCTATTGTACAACAGTCTTTTCTTATATTTCTACGAGAAACTGTTTGCACATCTCAAAATTCGTGACATTCTGGTCACATGACAATAATTTTATCGATCGATCGTGTTTTTTTGTTTTTTCAAGAATGGTGCTAGTAATTTATTTATGTACCTAACACAAAGGAGGCAGCAAGCAAGCCACCATGACGATTGTTAATGGCTGGTCTATTTTTCCAATCAACATAGCTATCCCAATTGTTTTGATTATCTATTTCCTATAACAAATTTAAAACAAAAAAAAAAATTAGAATTTGTTAATTAAAAAAAAAAAAAAGAGAAGAAAAAATAAAAGAGGAACTCACCATTAGTTAAGTTGAAAGAAAGTGTTGTAGAGATCTAAGATGATGAAATAATAGTGATTTTATAAAGAGTTGAGAGAAAGTGAGAAGAGAGGAAGATATAAATAAGACTTTGAAATTAAAGAAAATAGAGAGAATTTAAATAAAAAAAATTTTCATTTTGTATTTTTTGTAATATAATTATTATGACATAGTTAGGTACTAGAGTCCCCTTTGTAAGGGGGAATGAAAAAGGAGAAAAGATGGATAATGATGTTATCTAGGTTAATTATATTATATTAATTTAATATTTTAAAATAAAATTTCAGATATAAAAATTATATGAAAAGTATCATAATAATTTTTATGTTAATGTACTTAAAAGATTTCATCTAAAAATATTAGTCAAAATTTATTAGAATTTGGTTGATTTTAAATAGTTTTATTTCTATAAAAGGAGGAAGATAAAAGAGCATATAAATAAAATAATATAATTCTAAAAGAGGAAAAATAATAATAAATAATATAAGTAAATGAAGGGAGAAATAAAATAGAAAAGCAAAAAATGTTTTAAATGTTCTATCATTTATAATGTAAAAAATATTTATAATAAATGAAAACTTACGTTTAGGTGAAATTACATGATTTTAATTTTTGTGCGTTTGTTAGACCAAATAAGCATCTTGTCAAACATAAAATTTAGTTTAGACTCTTCAACTATTATTTCAAAATTTGATCTAAAAATATTTTCAAATTTCAACTATTAAACTAAACATAATCAATAGGTTTAATTTAATACGTCAATTCTCACTAAAGGTTAATTTTGTTTCCGTTTTTAATAGACTTTCTTTCTACAATTTTGACTTTTACAAATTAAAAATATTAAAATGAGAATTTTTTTTCTCTAAATCTAGTAGAACTTGACTCTTTTTTCCCCTACAATCTCGATATATTAAAAATGAACAATTGTTTATTATTATTATTATTATTATTATTATTATTATTTCATTTTTTTATGTTGTGAAAGAATTGCACTCCCAATTAACACATTTAATTAACAAGAATAATAGGTTTAGCTTATGGTGCCAACCCTCATTAAAAGTTTAGTTTCCTAGCATGTTTGGTATAATATTTTTCTACAATCATAACTTTTATTAATAGAATAGGAAGATTAGAATAGACCGCGACATAATGAGTTTGAACATTCCTGAAGTAAAAAAACGTATCGATCTTTTTTTAAGTTTAAATTAACCATGTAATGCTATACCTCGATTGTGGCCCATCAAGAAATTACATCAATATTGAGTATTGACATGCATAGTATTTTAAGTGGACCTTTATTTATTGTTTGTTAAGTAAGAAGGATTTTTTTTTAAAAAAATCGACTTATTGATTGATTCGTATAAATTTACATCAGATTATTTATTTTGCTTAATTTTTTTCATTTTTTAAAAGAAAAAAAAAGTGCAATATATTTTGAAAAATTATGACCAAATAAAAAATTATTTAAGAATTTATGATTGAAACACTAAGTTTGGTGAAGTTATTAGATGCAAATCTTGTCAATTTAAAAGTTGCCACTAAAAGATTTGTTTCCCTAGAAGAGAAAAGAAATTGATTTGTTGAAAGAATCATTTGGTTTTTTTAATGAAAAATATAACACAAAAAAAAGAATAATCTCAAATTGGAAAATTTATTTAGTTTGGTTTGCTTACTTTTTTGGGTAAATTTAGTTTTTTTCAACTTAAAGTATTATAGTGATGAGTTTCTAAATCTGGCTATAAGAAGATTGGTCACCTAAATAAAAATAACATCAATAATCACTTTTAAATTAAATATTGGAGTTTTAATATGAAATTTAATAACAATTGCTCTATTATTTTTAATTACACAGCTAAAATGAATAACTATTTATGATTTTCTTTTATTGATTTTTAATTCTATTATGAAATTAGTCTATACCTACCAACTTAGTTAGTGGAAATGAAAGCCCTTCTCCACCCTTCAAATATTACTAATATTTACCTAAACACATAATTTAAAGTACATTCCTTTAATCTTCAATATTTACTTAGGAAAAGAAAAGAGAATATCTATCTTGTTGTATCTTTCGTATCAAATATTCTAAATTTGATTATAATTCTAGAACTCCGTAGACAATGTTATTTTTCTAGAAGAATATAATAAATATATTATTTGAGTTGATTTTTCAGATAGTTACTCGATTAATTATTATTATCTGAAAACAACACTCCCCATAGGTTCCAGAACGATAATATATATTGAGTAATTCATCTGAAAAATATAACTTCAATTTTATTTGATTCGAACAGAAAATAGGCAATATATATGTATATGAAACTTATCATTAAAAATTACTAAACTCCCCTCTCAGATACATCTTTATCCCCTCTTGAATACATGCTTCCCATTAAGTAATGTATAATTCGCAATTAGTGTGCTATGTATCCGTAGGTTTTCCTGATGTATCCGAGATCTTATAAATTTAAGAGATTTTTTTTAATTTGAAAAAAATATAGGGATATGATATAATTAATTGTTAACACTATATGAGATTATATGATTTTTCATTATCAAACGTATGCAAAACTAAATATACAATCTTAATAACGAAATTTAGTATCAAATCACCCTTCGTTTAAGATGGCTACGCCCATGATATACATATAGTATACATCATACCTTGTCTAGGTGAGGCTAACCTTAAGAATTTTTTGGTATGTAGAATATTGGTGGCCAAAAATATGGCTATTGTTTGATATCGTTGCCAAATTATGTGGAGAAGAATAATATATATTTTGATACACATAATAAGATTCTCAAAGTAGTAATTCTCAAGCAAGTTTAAATTCCAATATCTTAATGTACATATATACAAACATTGAACATAATTTTTCTCACAAAACAAAAGTCTCGAATCAAATCATGTCTTTTTTTAAAAAAATATTTCTTCTTTCAAAAGTCAAAATAATAATAAAAAAAATGTGTCTATAATAATTTTAAAAAATGTGTCTTCATGGGACAAATAGATATATTCTTCCAAGGATGAGGCTTTGAAGTCATGTACGTTTTACAAAGAGGAAACATACATTTTATTTTTGGATACACACACGCACACAAAAAAAATAAATCAATTGATACTACTAAAACGTTCGGCGGCTATTTCAGTAGATATTTTTATTTAATCAATGGAAAAAAAAAATGCTATTTCTGTGAGAATATGTTTTTCATCATGCATTTTTTTTCACAGTAAGCTAGTTTGATAAAAAAGAATAAGTAGAAAATTTGTTTTGTATAACAATAAATTATCAGCGATTCGCCGGTGAAAACCTAATATTTTTAGTAGTGAGAATACATGTAGAATATGAATGTTGAGATTTAAAAAAGGTGATGATGCACAATATTTTTGAAAGATAGAATTAATAGAATTATTCTTCCATTTTGTGGCTGAAAATTAAGAAAAGAAAAAAAAAATATTGTCTAAACTTAGAGCAAGTACCAAGTGGAAAGTAAAAAAGAGAAAGGATTTAGCAAAAGTAACACCAAAAAGATTATTCAAAAATAATTATAAAAATTCTTTTTCCACCATACGTAGAATTAAAAAAAAATGATTAATTTTATCTACATTAAAAGATTATTCGTTTGGGCAATGTTGGAATAATGTTGGAATATGTAAGGGCAGCCCTTTTTATTCTCTTATACTTAAACCCTTCAAAATTTTCACTATCAAACATATCATCAGAAAATTATACCGTATAAATAGTAAAACAAAATTTGTTAAATATTATATATTGTTCAACATTCTTTACATATAAGTGTACCGACAAAGGATGGCTCGATAAAATTGCTTAACATCGTTTGATCACTCATTGGTATGACATTCTTGTATTTTTTTTCGAATTCCCTTGTTGAAATCCCTTGCTTCGAGTCACACAAGAGGGGGTCCGATAAGTCGCGGGCCGTCCCTCTATGCATATATTTCGTCTGTTTTAACATTCCAAAATTTCTTCAGCACAACTCTGTTCACATGTGTTACTTGCTAGATTTGAGTGATGTATACTTGTATTTTGTAGCCCAGAATAAGTAGTGCATAAAGTTTAATGCACTGAGTATGCACATTAGCCAGTAGAACCTGTCCAAATGATAGTGATTCAAGCTGCTACCCGCGAGCCATGGCTTGTTCGTTGAAATGCCTGTTACACGGTTGACAATAGACACAATCGCCGAGCTGAGGTAGTATCCGATGGCTAAAGAAGCCCACGAGAGAGATGTTGCCAATGATCTCATACTCACTGGTGCTTCTGAGAAACAGAATTCTAGTAGTCCTGCTAGAACGAAAAGATCAGCTGACCCGAGAAATAAGTACTGAAACGCGATCCAAAAGAATGTTATAGGCAATGGTTGAGCAGAGTCGATGAGTCCTGAATCAGTAGCTACTCTCTTACGTTTGATTTCAACTAGGGCTGCGATTGCCATTGCCACGATGGATAGGAACAGCCCGATACCAATACGTTGGAGGTGTGAGATTCCCATTTCTGTTTTGGTTACTCTACGAGCAAATGGGATGATGAAGTGATCGTAAACTGGAGCTAAGATCATGATGAATACTACGGGGAAAACAGGGAGGGAAGCCGGAGGGACTTTTAAAGAACCGACCTTTGTGTTCATCGAGGCTGCTTGTTGGACTGAGAATGTTGAGAGTTGAGCTAGACAACAGTTGAGCATGATGGTGCAAGCGAAAATCGGGAGGATTTTCATCACAATCTTAACTTCTTCCACTTGTTGCACTGTGCATTCAAATGCACTACTACTACAAGCTGGTGTATCTGAAACAGCTCGATTAAGAAAGCTAAGACTTGTCGATGGAGTGTGCATTGATCCAACGTCTTTTCTATTTGAATCTTCGCCATTTTCCTTGCCCGTTGGAATTGGAGGAGAAGGGCTTGAAGTCATACTTACTATAGCACTAGTTGAGTTTCTTGATGCACCCGAATTCACCAAGGCAGCAATAAGAACCTACGAAAAAAAAATTCATTATATTACTCGTTTAGAAAAGTACAGTTTAAAGCTAGGTTGCTTGGACTCTGCAGTAATGTTGTTTGGAGAATCCGACACACTAGGAGTAAGTTTAAAGAGTTCGAGCAACATGTTTCAAAGTGCGTATGATATGAAACTCTATCTATACCTTGCTGATTGTTGTGAGAGGGCTTCCACTAGGTATCTTGTTCCTATAGAACGACGAACCAGCAAGGAAGATTGGGATCGATAAGAATATAGCTAACGTTGATATTCCGAATCCCCATTGCCAACCCTTATTGTCTTCCACCCAAACGACGAATGTGACAGCAATGAGAGCTCCAAAGGAGAGACAGAACACAAAGTAATTGAAGAAACTTGATCTTTGTTTTCTTCCTTGTGGTGTTGATTCATCAAACTGTTCAGCACCGTGGGGTGGCAGCGATCCCTTTATACCTCCAACGCCTAACGCCACTAGGTAGAGTCCTATGAACAACATTGCAGCTTGTGCACCATGAACTTGTTCACAAGGCACGTTCGGAGTTGCTTGAAGGTCGCACGTTGGTGGCTTCAACGACCCCGAACGAGCCTGTATGGTGAGCACCACTAGCCCCTGCAAAATGCAGCCTGAGTTATGCATATATTTTGTTTTAGGAAAAACTCGGATTAGACAAGAATCTCATTTTTAGGTAGTACGAAGGTGGAATTAGAGATCAAGACGTTGTCGGGACTCAAGTCATGTCCCTAAATAATCGGCTATTACACGGCTCACTGACTCTGCCTCGGGTATAGGTACCTTTTATTTGTTAGGTTGAACATTATGAGGAAGGATATGTATTTCAAATGTTATTAATGCTAAGACCTAAGTAGAATCAATCAGAGGCAGAGCTAGCACTTCGGTTACGAGTTCACCGAACTCATAAACCCTATATGTACAAATTATTGATTTCGAACCTAATAATTTTAGTTCCGAACCTATAAGCTTTAAATCCTACCTCCGCGTATAAGAGTAATTTAGATTACAATTCACACATAAAAAAAAGTCATGGAGAACTTTCTCTAGCTGTCACAGGAATAAAGAGACACTCTGCTCCTTTTAACTCCACTTATTGACATTCCAAATTCAGATATATATAAAAAGTTACAAAATGAAAATTAAAATATAAGACAAAAATATGTTCACATGATATACGATATTCATTCTTAATCATAATTCTCGAACTTAAAACCTATTGGACACAAAGTAATCTTTGTTAGAAATCGCATTCACCCCCTTATATTAGATTTCTTTGTGCGAATCGAATTTTAATCAAAATTCAATATAATATCAGACGTAAAACCCCACCCACCCCTAAAAAAATATAAGGTTTGGTGGCCCCTTATAATTTGGGCCATTAAAAAACAAAATCTAAACTATTCTATGCACTTTTTTTTTTACTTGTAACAGGTGTATAATCAAGCATTAATAAGTTTAGTTTAATAGTTTCTTTTGCACTTTTACCAAATGAATATAAAATTGACATTACTAAAAACCACACACCTGTTACATAGGCCTCCTAAAAGTTAATTTATTTTTTATCACCACTTATGGTTAATATTCCATAGTGTTAGCCATTAAAAAAAAAAAGAAGCAAACCCTATTGTCATTTGTTACTTTAAATACCATTTATGAAAATTTTCTAATTTAAAATTTGCAAAAGGATATGTTTGTGAGTTGTAAACTTGTAAGTAATATAAAGACATGACCTACATAAAACAAAGTTATATATCTAAGTGTTTATTTTTTATACTTCGATTATTGTACCTTCTTTAATTTGCTTTTCTCCTTCTTTATTTTTTATGAGCTCAGGTTCTATCGGAGAAACAACTCTTTGAAGGTAAAGTCTGCTTATAGTTTACTATTTATAAATGCTATTTATAGAATTTTGTCTTTTTACCGAATAAAAATAAATGATTTTATCTAAAAATCATGGAAAACTAAACTAGGTTTTTTTTTAAAAAAAAGACATGTATGATATTGTAGTACTAGTCAAAAAATTAAAATTAAAATTGTAGTACTAGTTGAATATTTGTTGTACTTTGCAATCCATGTCATAGAGATAGAGTTAACAAAATGGGGCATTGACACCAAAAAAGGAAAGAGTCGATCCAAAACTTCCATTGGCCCTACCACTATATAATATATTTACAATCAAAGGTGATGCAATATCAAACCAAACCAAAATAACATATATCATGAAATATGTATGATGTATCCCTAGAAGAACGAAAAAAATAACAGGTATCAGATGAAATAATGAAAATATGTACGTATAAGATAATTATTACTACGTACCATAAAAAATGTAATTGCGGAGGTAGGAATTGAATCATGCATTCAAGAAATTCATAAAGATGTTCTTTTGTGTTTAGTGGATACGATAATTTGTATACATACACATGAAATAAGTTCACTTAAATATAATTTTCTGACAAACGAGATTCAGTTAAACCGTTTGATTGATTTTTTTTGCCATTTATTGATAAAATGAATAAAAAAAAAGGATATATGTATATAGTCATATATAGGGTAATATGTGAGATGTCAAGTTGTATTTGCCTTTAATATGAAATAACAACTTGAATGCAACAAACAATGTTGTTACATTTCTTTTCCAACATTTTTTTTTATATATAGTTATTTGTATTTATAGTTTTTCCTTTTTGTCTTTTTGCTAAATACCCCTAATTTAATTCAAAATTTTCCTACTATACATAAATTCTCCATAAAAATTTACTTATTTTCTTTCCGTCCTAAAATAAGTGTTTACTCTATAAAAATAAATTGCTCCAAAATTAAGCACCGCTTTAAAGATTCAATACAAAAAAAAATTAATTATTTTTAACTATACCCTTATATTAAAAACCACTTCTAATTTTAACGACGTTGAATCCTCAAATACTATCTAATATCTTTTTCTAGTCTATAATTTCATAATTGAGAAAATTCTCAAAAGCCAGTTCATGTGGTTCAAAACTCGATGAATATAAGTCTTTTCGTCACATCTCGATTTAAATATCAGACTATTATATAATCAAATTCAAACGCATGACATACACATCAGACATCGCCTTTTTTTCCCAATAGGCCAATTTAAAAACCTAGGGGCAAAGCAATACATTTCTTAGTCTAATGTCACCATATATTACATAGTGACAAACGTAAAGTGCTACAAAAAGTAGTTTAAATAAAAAAAAAAAGTTATATATGTAATGGGACCCTAGAAAATGCAAACTCAAAACTAGGTACGTTGCATGAATAATATATGTGGGGAAGGTTAGATTCTTAATATGATCTTCCACTAGAAAAAAATAAAAAATAAAATTGTAATATCTAAAAATCGATTCTAATTCGACAAAGATCTTTTTTCATCCTATAAACTTTAGTTTTTCCACGATGCCAAAAAATTAAACTTTATTTTTAAAAAAAAATAAAAATAAATAGAAAAACAAATCGAATCATATCAAAAGTGGTCTCTTTTCAAAGTCATGGTTCATGGGATTTCTTTTAGAATTTTAAAGAATAAAAATGACCAAGAAAAAAGGTCCATTATGGGGTTAATATTAATTCCCCATATTTTCTTCGTTAACAAGTTTGATTGATGGGACTATGTGGGGGTGGGTGGGTGGGTGAGGGAGAGGGGATTATCAGCGATAAGAAACCTGAAATCTCGTTAAGGGTGTTCAAGATCTAATATATATGTACGAAGATAATTTTTTGATTCATATACTACATACAAAATTTTATATATATAATATATTTTTTTACGAAAAATGTTCGACTGACCATACTGAACTATACGTGGCTACGCCACTTAGAGGTGGAGGAGAAAAGAAGCAGACAAGAGAAGATAGAAAAGAAGAAAAGCAACCAATTCCCAAGTATCTTTTGTCATACTAATTGTCAACTTGCATCACTTTGCAAGCAAGTTGCATGACCAATTGTTGCAATTTTAACACTAATTTTATCATTACTATCTCTCCATAAAAATAAATAAAACTAAAGTATATAATGAATGATGACTAGGACATAATTATTTTGTTTCCAAACAATGTTTAATGTCCCGATTAATCTGAATTCACAATCATAAAGCTCAATAGAAAGCAAAGCACATGACTCGTTAAGATATTTCTTATTTTCAAAATCTAAACTCAAGACTTCTCATTCATCTAGTTTCAGGTAACCCTTAGTGATCGTTGTACACGCATCATACTGCATATGTTATTACTATTTTCGTATATTAAATATATTTAATTTTTAATTAATTGAAAACTATCTCCCTTCATATTTTCTACGAATTAAATAATGTGATTATAGAGTATAGTTGAAAGAACAAAAATAAAATAGTAAACATACATAATATATTTGACTTTTATTTTCTCCCTTTTTGTTTGTCAAAGTACTACGCTATCATTTATATTTTGAATACTCCATAGAAAAAAACAATAAACTTATAAATTTAATAAAAGAAAGGTAAAGATTCTAAAATTATTTTATTTCTAAAAATTAAAAATGATAGCATAAATAATGTGGCAACGTTATTGCCTTTATTTGATCACATTTCCCAAGTTTGTTTCATTCAATATTGGCTACATTTGCCTTAATTTCTGCTCATTTTGTGTCTCACCCAATTAAAATCCACGTGCCTGCTCTTCAGTCAGTTATAAATTAATACATTAAAAAAAAATATTTACAAATTATCTCAAATATAAAATAATTAATAATTTCAAAAATCAAATTATATTTAATCATAAAACTATAACATTCTCGGTAGAAGTACCATTTTACATGTTCTGAATTAATTATCATGATCATAACATTATTAAAAGTAAAAAAAATTCCAATACCTAGTGGTAGGACACAGAATTAATCAGGATCGTGACAGAGTAATAAATATTTTTTATTAAGCTCTAAATATCAACGATTAATGTTATTATAGCGAATTTTAACCTTCTAACGTGAGGAGTAAGTAATTCAATATTGATATAACCTTCTAACTTGAGGTGTAAGTGATTCAATACTGATATCAAACTTTGAACGAGGAATAAAAAACATACCAGAAATTCAATGAGTGCACTGATGAGATAGATGTAATAAGTAGTGACAAAGGCATCAGATAAGAATCCACCAAGAAGTGCCAATAAAAATGCTGTGCCCATAAAATTAGTCACAGAATTTGCTGATTTTGATGGTGAAAAATGCATGTACTCAGACATATACAACACCAAATTACTTGCATTAGCCAAATATGCCAAATTTTCCAACACCTCCACAACTATAAAAAAAAAAAACAAAAAATACAATTACAGTTCGATACATTAAGCTTCTGCTATATGCAGTGTCTAAGAAAAAGTCAGACAACAAAAATCTATTTGTATTTTTTCTATTTTGATCAGATAGCAATAACTTTATCAGTTATATCGAAAAAAATCGAAGATTATAAGAATTTTTTTACCTAAGACAAAGGAGGCAGGAATTAAGCCACCATGTTTATTAGTAAGTGCAGGCTTATTTTTCCAATCAACATAACCAGGCCAAGTGCTTAATTGGCTTTGGTTCTCTGTGTCCTGTAATACAAAACAGAGTTTAATTATGAAAATATGAAAGAAAATTAAAAATTAAAGAGGAGAAAAATAGAAACATACCATTTTTTAAAAAATTTATTTTTGTGTGAATTTTAATCTCAATTTAATTTTTGTAGAGGTTTAAATTGAGAGGGTTAAGATTGTAGAGGAATTTAAGAAGAATGATATAGAAATGAGAGTTATCAAAGTTAGGGGTATTTAAAGAGTTAGAAGAGAATAGTGTGGACCCTTTTTGGAAAAATGCAATGCTTATTTATTTAAGCGGAGTCAAAAATTTTAATTTATGTAATTTTAAATTTAATTTAATTTTTGAGTTGAAATTATTGAATACTTAATGGTAAAGACTGACTTCACTCTTAATTAAAGATTTTAAAATTGTGTATCTACATTTGATAATGTGAAATAATTAAAAAAATTAAATAAACATTTATAATATTTTTTATGTTAAAATAAATTGATTTTTTTTTCTTATTATATTAAAATTAAAAAAATAAAAATATTAATAAAATAAAATAATATAGATAAAATATCATTTTGATCGGATCTTTTTGGCCTTTAATATTGAAGTAATTTCTTGTGTATACCACTTTCATTTTTAATATAATATTAACAAATGAAATTAATTGATTTAATTTAAAAAGAAAGTATGTAATGTATGCCAAAAACTCATCCTAGCTTGTCTTATAGAATAATTAAATTATAGATGAATTTCCATTTATTTATTTTTTTGTTTTCTATGTTTGTTCTTTTTTAAATTCCAATTATGACATATTTTCTCTTGGGCAATTGACTTCCCCTCCACCCTGCCTTTTTTCGAGGGGAAATGTTACAAGGTGAGATATTGATATGATGTTAGTTTAGATATGGTATTTTATTTTATATCTGATATTTATATTAAAGTCATATAAAATATAGAATTGTGTCGAAAAGTTTTATATTGAAAGCAAAATATTTTTTAATAATAACGATTTTATATTGAAGAGGATTTGGACTTGAAATTTTTGATTAGTAATGATGGAGTACTACCACTCTATCGCAACATTTGTCGGTAGTTTAGCTATGATTTGTTGATTATTATAAATTATTAGACTTGGTAAATATTGTATCAAATTTAAGACATTTGAGATTATCAAAGTAAACCTTTTATAAATTTTAAACTTAAATAATTCTACTTCATGTACAAATCTCGTATTCATATTTTTGAAGTGTAATTCTTTTTTAAACTAATACGAAAAATTTTAAGTATTAGACTAATAGTAAATATTCACACTCCAGTTAGAGTTAGTGAATCATGCAATAGACTATCATTTTACATAGTTCAAAAGCACTTGAATCAGCCATTGATATCCGATCAATTAAATCTTGACATATTACAATCATATATCAAAGAAGATCGCTATGATCATTACTAAATTTATATCGTGTTCTTTTACATATACTAATTCTGAAAATATATTTGTAACAGTTCCAATAAAATAAAACCCAAGTAGATTGAGTTTTCACATTAATAAGTAATAAAGTTTTAATAATTTGGTTATCCATTAAAGGATTGTATAAAGTTTTTTTTTTCCTTTTCAGAAGAAAAAGAGATTGATTTGTTTGTTGAAAGAATCATAATCTTTTATTTTATTTTAATTTTTAAAAAAATCGAGTAGGTCACTACTTAATGCTTTAGCTGTTTGATAGTAACAACCTTATATCCTGTGGGCAATTTTATTTTATATTTGATACAAATAATTTTATTATTATTATTATTACTATTATTATTATTATTATTATTATTATTATAGCATATATTTATAACTTACTTCATCTTAAATGAAATACATGATAATATATTATCGCTATAATTTTTACAGCAATTGTTATTTTTTGAGTGATCATTTTCTAGGTAAATCTCATTTCGTAATAAACTACTAATCGTACAAGAAATATAAATTCAACAAAAAAAAATTATGTGATAAACTTAACTCAAAAGAATAGTCATATGATATATTAATTAAATTGTTTTTTGTTATATAGATTTGTTTTTTTTTTAATAGTTTGTTCGATGCTTTGACTTTGAAATTTGAATAATTGAACTACGTTTTGATATAATATAAATTTTCTTGTCATATCATGAAAAGGAAAAATATTTGTGATAATGTAAGATAATAAAATAGGGATTATAATAAAGAATTATACGTTTTAATATTATCCTAACTGACTAAGCCAACTGCCTAAACAAACCCCCACGTTTGTTTTTTATTTTCCATTATTTAGGTCTCATCTTTTTAGTCAACTTTCAATAATTTTAATTATAGTCATTATATAACATATCTATATCCCAAAATTTAAAATTCTTTTGAAAAAGTGACATAAGAATTTATTTTTGTAATTGATATTTATATTTTATATCACATCAATAGATATAAGATATTAAATATTAACATAAACGATATTCTCCTTAAGAAATTATCTTGTGTGAATGGAAGACAGATTAATATATTTTACATCACATCAATAAATATAAAATATCGAATATTAACACCAATGATGTTCTCGTTAACATTATCTTGTATGAATGGAAGACAGATAAAAATCGTAATTCATATATTGTCGATTTGATGAGAAAAAATAAAATAATTTCATTAGAATCTCTTTTTGATTTACATATATATTGTCAATTTGATGAGAAAAAATAAAATAATTTCATTAGAATCTCTTTTTGATTTACATGTCCTTATAATATGTGTATAAAAAGTCTATAAAGTTATCCACTTGCTTGAAATTAGCAATGCATTGGTTGATTTTGAAAAGAATAACTAAGTCATATATCTCTATAAAGCATATGTCTATCCAAATTTTTGTCCAAGAAAACCATATACTTGTTGATTTGTACTCATTTTAGTTTTACTTATTATTTATTTCGAGATTATCTATCGTAATTTTTTACAATTATTAATATGGTTGTTTTATTCTTATATTTATCTTTTCATATTTGATTTATTACACTGTAAATTTATTCAAGTCATAAATCTGTGAAAAAAATAAAAAAAACTCTATAACATAAGTCAGAACGTAAAAATAAAATCATATACGTATCATCCTTCTCGATAAATTCGAAAGGGATGATGATTGAGTTGTAATAAATGTAAGTTGGAATAAATGAATTGGACGTGCGTAGAAATAGGGAAAGACAGCTTCGAATAACGTAAGATATAGACCCCAATCATATAGTATAAAGAGGCATACTCTTTAATCTTCTTTAACATAATTTTTGGCTTTTCGCTCCCCTCTTTCTTATTTTGTTCGTCACATAATTATATAATATTTCCATATTTATATCATAGTCCTATTAATTTGAATTCGCAATACGTAAGATTTGATTCATTCAAAAAGATGCTTTCTATAAAAAAATAATTCTTTTCTAAGACTCGAAATCGAAATTAATTAACATGTATAGTAAAATAAAGTGACTATGGTTTCTATTTATGAATCTTGGAACATGAGAGTCCCAATAGACACGCCTTAAAGCATGCCATGATCAACTATACAGCCTCAGCTCTAGCTAATGTGTTCCTAAATATTGGACATACTTTATATTTGTAGGGTTTTATATTACGATTTTTAATAAAATGATTTATAAATTGTACAGATAAAATTATATTTGATATTATGCACATAAATTGTGATGAAGGAAATATTATAGTTATGTTTTATGACCTTTTTTTGAATCATCAAAAATAATGATAGAGTGATATAATATATTTATTAATCTTTAATTAGAGTTTTCAGGTTCGAACTCTAACCATAAAACTGACTTTGATACAGAGGATTTTACCCACGAAAGGACTTTTCGACATCTTTAATTAATTGAAGTTTTCAATTTTGAATTCTGAACATGAAATTATCTTGGGAAAATGCACAAGTACCCCCTCAACTTATGCCCGAAATTCCAGAGACACACTTATACTATACTAAGGTCCTATTACCTCTCTTAACTTATTTTATTTATAAGTAATTTTCTACTCCTTTTTAGCCTACGTGGCACTAGTTTAAAAAAAAAGTCAATCATCATTGGGCTCACAAGATAGTGTCACGTAGGTCAAAAAGGTGTAAAAAATTATTTATTAAAATAAGTTCAGGGGGTAATAGGACTTTAATACAGTATAAGTGTGTCTCTGAGATTTCAGGCATAAGTTGAAAGGGTACTTAGGCATTATCCCAATTATCTTTGATTAAGTTTTTTATCAACTAAATTTATTTTTCAATCTAAATATAAAGTAATCGAACATCAAATATAAATATCAAAGACCAAATCGAATAGATGAAAATATATAACGATCCATGTGGTTAAAAATAACTTGACTAGATGTCCACAAAATACGTATAGTTATCCAAGATAATTGGCGCCGAAAAATTAAATTCTTTATTCGACGAAATAAATAGAATAAAAAATCGATTCTTCTATATGCAATAATAATATCATCATTTTAGAATATAGAGTATTAAATAAATGGGCAATGGCTAAGGTTAGAATAACGTTGGAATTTGTCCCACAAGATATTTTTACTTTTATTAAAATTAAATTTATACGTAGAGAATTTTAATAGTATAGCTGATTGATTATCTGATATTTTTTTTATTGGTAGGATTCGATTCTTTAGTAATTGCCTCTTTTATTTCCTCTTTCCCACCACCCAAATTTTTTTATTTTTAATTTTCAAAAACCTAGTTTGATCTTTCAACAAACAAATTTTGTCTTAAAAGCTTGTTGATAAAACGATTAAATTTTTTAGTTTGACTAATTAAGTTGTAAGCTTAAAGAATATTCATTTTGTTTTGATTTATTTGATCCTTAAAATAATTGAACATTAGAAAAATTAATTCTTTTATCATAGCTCAAGACTGAAACAAATTTGCTAGTTTATTTGATAATATGTTTGATTGCATAGAGCTTTGAAGAAATAAATGAAGGTTTTTAAAATTTATATAATTTAAAATCTAAAACAATTAATGGTTATAAATCATTAAAAAATTAAATTGTTTAAGAAATGTAGCTGTACTAGCAAATTACGGTGAAAATGTAGAGACCAATAGGTCTCAAAATAATGTAATGTTCTAAAATATTATAATCTTACCATCAAAAAAAAAAAATCGAACGTGTTACCCTTATTATTATTATTATTATTATTATTATTATTATTATTG